GCCCCCCCCCCCTTCCTCCTCCTCCCCCATCCTTCCGCACGACCCCTGGTTTTATTCGCGTTTTACAGCACTTTATGAAACTGCGTCGTTTTTCCGTGATTTATCGTCGTCTTGATGTCGTCGTCGGGCGAGCGCACGCGGGAATCCTCGGCGAGACGTAATAATTAGTCAGCCGAAGTTTCCGGCGATAACGGCCGGGTATCGGATTTTCGTGCTTCTGTGGCGCAGAAGTCGCTGATAAAACTTTCCTACGACTCCGCAGACACCGCGGGGTATCTCGCAATTATTTCACTCCGCGGCGCTCTCTCTCTCTCCTTCTCCCTCCCTCTCCTTCCTCGTTTCGCTCTCTTTCTCGTCGAAATAATTCGCCCGCTCCGGGCGAATAAGAATATCGTTTGATCGCGATCCGCTAAACCGTCCGCGAAGTATAATTACCGTAATTCCCTCGGCCGCCCCGACCGTCACGAACCGTCGCATTTTCGACTCTTCCCGGCCGCCTCTCGACCGTTCCCGTCGTCGAGACCTTATCTGTTGCGGCGATGAGAGAACAACAGAGAAGGGGAGAGAGAGAGGGAGGGAGGGAAAGATCGCCTATAACGAGATGTTTCTAATTAAAGCTACAACCGCGATTGCCGGCGGCGTTATAACTCACGATTAAACGACGCATGTGGTGGCACGGATCTGCTAAACGTCGGCCGGAACTCGCCGCCGTCTTCGACAGCCGGAGTTGCGCCGCAACCGATACTCTGTTAATTCGGGGGTTAACTCCCGGAGGTTGTCTCACCGAACCGGTCGCTCAGCTAATCATTCCGCCAAGCGTTAACCCGGGTATAGTCATTTCATACCCCAGGAAAATGAAGCTCACGTCGCGATGGATTTTTTTCGACCGATCGGCAACCGTTGTGTACCTTTCTTACATATCTTCGTTTATTAAAAATACTGTCAGAATAAAACATTCGATATGCTCACTCCAATTCTTAAATATTTGTTTGGCATCCCCTCATTTTGTTAAAAAAATTGGCGAATAAATCTATATTTATGATGTCCCTAATAATAATAAATTATACAGCAATCAATAATATGCTAGATTTTGTTAATAACAAAAGTTTCTAACTGGGTCTAAATGACCCTATGTGATGGTTTACGTAAAAAAAAATAAAAATAAAACGATTATTCCCGGGTTAATCGTGATATTGATATCGGCGAGCGAACGTGATGTCACGATATATATTATTGTTGCTATTTCGCATTTATATCCATCAAATGGCTAATTTTGCTGCTTCCATGCGCGACTTGGATCGATTATCTCGGTCACGAAGAGAAAGAGAGAGAGAGAGAGAGAGAGAGAGAGAGGGAGAAAGCGAGATTGTCGGAAATGGCATTACAGTTACTGCAGTTACCACTCTGGTTGACCCTGTAATCCTACGGGGCACCCTATGCTTCAAAGGTCGCTCACAAATGTGCCGTAATTAAATTAGAAAAATTCCCGTAGCGCTGCTCTCTCCTCTCGAACAGAACAATCGACATGCACATGGTAATTTACCGTGCGCCTGCCTTTCTTTTTTTTTCAGGTGGCTTCACCTGCTGTTTAACTTGGGGGTACAGGTGGTCGTGGGACTTCCCTTGGAAATGGTTCACGGAAGCCTGAGGATCGCCGCGGTTTACATGGCCGGGGTTCTTGCCGGTGAGTAATGTCGTCTGCAATGTGAATTATGTTACGGTGTGCGTCCACGATTTATGCTGCCGCGCGTTAACGCTCCTTTAACCTTCGCATCTCTCGCAGCGCGTCAGTCTCGATCTCGAGGTGAAATTAAGAACGAAGCGCGGAGCGCCGCGGATATGCGCGCTGAGAAAAAATTTTTCGGCATTTGTAATTGTAATCGCGCAGGTGAGAGAAATATTGAGCCGAGAGAGAACCGTTTCTCTAATATAGACCTGCACGGAAAAAAGGAATATGCATACTTTGAGAAGAATTATTTAGAATTATATAGAATATTTTTCCGTATTCTCAATGTGCACATGTTGAAATAAGATTACGTAGCGTTAATAGATAAAACTTGCTTACACGAAGAAATTCTATATATAGTCTCGCTAAAAATATAATATTCTCGTTATTCAAGAATGATTTTCTTGAATGGAGAGCAAAGAATATCGGACGGAATAGAACGATATCTTCGAATTTCAATTTCTTTAAGCTGAAATTAAATTACTTTTATTTTAATATATCTTGTTCTTAGATAAAGATACATTGAGAAGTCTCAAATTGTTTTATTAAATCCGAGGAGATCTTTTTCTCCGTGTATTTATATTCTAAAAAGAATATTTTGCGATTCCTTTTCCACCGTTCGTCTCACAATAAACACACGAACGGAACGTATAGTCAACATGACCCTTGGGCTAAATTGACCCGGTCTCTCCTAAACATGGCCAATAACGTGTTGGCTCAGCTTTATGATCGCCTCATTGAACTATATGCTAAGCTTGCTTTACACAAACGAGAAAGATTAAGAGAACACGGAAATTTTGTTAAATGCAGGGCAATTAGTTCGCTCTGTACAACCCTGAGTTCAAATCTGTTTAAATCGATTCAAGTTATTTCAACTGATTCTTTCTTACAATGCAGTTAAATCAACACACATTTGTCGATATTTATTCGGTTAATTTTCTCTTTACAATTGCAATCTTAGCTATCGGGGTCCGTTCCCTTCCTCTCTCTCTCTCTCTCTCGTTCTCTCGTTCCCTCTCTCTTCTGGATTTCCCTCCCTGGGGCGCGTTTTTGCGCGATCTGAATCGGCGGAAATTAGTCCGCGGTGTATACAAATACAAGTGGGATGCGTCGCGCAATGCAGACACCATAATCAGCGAATCCGGAACGTCCAAGATACACGGACTGCTAATTATCCGAACACACACGTGCCGCCATAACGACGGCGTTTTAATTAAAATCCGTTAATGTTCATATAAGTACGTTGACAGTCGGAGTAACGAAACGCACAGAGCGAGCGAGCGAGCGCGCGCTTTACGTTTCCGAAAATTTCGCGCGCATTTCCCCCGAACGTTGTCGTGCCTGATATCCTTCGCCGGATATTTCGCCGATGACAAACTGGATTTTCCATTGTTTGTCGCGTCGAACGAAAATATTTTTCACATGCGCGCGCACCTACGTACGTATCTACTACATTGAAAAAAAAACGACCTACGATATTTAGAAAATGCATTTAGTTAGTGATTTCGACAGAATATTTGATAACTGTTAAGAAATTTGATATTAATCGCTAAGTATTTAGTTGGCCTGCAGAGTGAACGACTTTTATTCAGAGTTGAATCAACTAAATGAAATAATAATTGCTAGCAAATATTTAACATCTGTTATTATGTGTTTGATATTAATTATTATTAGATATTTAGTAAGTATTACAAAATCATTCACTTTCATTCTTATGAAATATCTGGTAGCTATTAGTAAATATTTATGACTCCTCTCTCTCTCTCTTTTTCACTCACTCACTAACTCTTTACTCTCTTTCTCTTTCTCCATACAAGGATACATTATAAACACGAGATTCAGTGTGGCCTTATCTATAAATACAGGACAATTGTTGTACCTAACGACAAGTTCCAAGTTCAAGGGTCAAAGTTCAATATACTGATGTCTGTCATTTTCAATTATTGATATTTTGCGTATTATTTGCAGAATGACACAGGACTTTTCTATTCAGTTTCAATACTTGCGTATTACGGGAATCTAGATTAGTTTTGGGACACCCTGTATATTACCGAATCCTTCTTTCACTGTATACCATCGCCACCACTCGTCGTTCTCCGATTTGAAAAACTTGGCGCTTTAATTCCAGAGTACATCGTCGTTCCCAAAAGATACGGGACGTGCCGTATCGTCCCTTCCCCCACCCTCTCAGGCTAAGCAATTACCGCTCCGAGACATTTTTGCATATTTACCGAGACAACAAACGCGCGACCGAGTAATTCCGGCTAAACGGTCCCGGCCCGCCGTATATGTACACACATATGTACGAAATCTATGTGCGCAAAAGCGGCGTACACGCGCGACCTACACACAAACGTATTCGTATACGTCTACTAATTGTCATTTGCATAAATTCGATTAGACGCAGATCCCGAGTTATTAGCAGTCATGAAAGTAAAACGTGGCGAAATGGGCCGCATGAATAATCAACTCCCGGTCTGCGGACGGCGGGAGGGGGGAGGAGGACAAAGGGGACGCGGGAATTAGATAGGGAGAGATAGGAATTTCAAAGTGGAGAGCCGTCGATGTTGCTATTGGTAAATTAGCGAGAAACGGACAGCGCGATTTTATTCATTTATACGTCGGCGGAGTTCTCATTCGACCGGGAATTAGCTCGAGGATATTTCGCCGAGGAAATCCTATTGGATATATCCTAGTCGCGGAGTTTTCTCGCGAGCACCGCGAAGTCGTGATTCGAAGATGCGAGAGAATGAAAACGAGATGCGAGTGGAATCTCAGCGACGGAAGTTCGTCCGATATAGATGAGGCGACACACGAAGAAAAAGGTTTCTTTAGATTTATTATTCCTATTTGTTTGACTGAAATTTGTCTCATAACCATAAACCGTACTGAAATTTTATAAAGCAAAACCAAAACCGAAATCGGAACCGTTAAATTTTTCTCAATTTACTGTTCTTTTCAGTTCATTATTTCGGTTCTTATGATGTAAAATAATCGTTTCTTTCATTTCATAATAAAATTTTAATTTTTGCTAAAAAGACAGCACATCGATTGGTTATTGTATAAATAGAAAATATTTATATAAATAGTTAAGAGTTAATAGAAAAATTATTATATAAATAGAAAATAAATTTTGTTATTACGGCGCTAGACGCACAATCGATGATGAAATCTTTATAATTCTTTTTATTATATTTGTTGCGCGCGCATGTAATCGTACAGTGATTTAAATTGTCTGTTATATTAATACAATAATAAATTTACCAGGTGTTTTATTCTCACATTTTCATATTACATTTTACATGACGTGTTGTTTTGAACGAATTTTGACAATTCCTTTTTTCGTGTTCCTTTTTATTTTTATTTCCACTTTTTTCTATGATTTCCTATTTACTTTTATTTATTTATTTGCTTTTCCATTATTTTTCAATTTAATAATTTCTGCTTTTATTTTATTTATTTTTATGACTATTTTGTTTATCTCTATGTGACAAATATGAGTACTACAAATGAATAATTCATAAAAAATACAACATTTTATACAGGGTGTCCCAAACTAATCTTGGTTCCTGTGGTGTGCAAGTAGAACGGATGAAACTTAGTAGAAAAGTCCTATACCATTTTGTAAATAACACGCAAAATTTCGAGTTATCAATGATTGAAAATGATCATTTATAGAGGCTTCTTTAATTAATAACTGAAAAATTTGCGTGTTATTTGCAAAATGGTATAGGACTTTTCCACTTAGTTTCACCCGTTCTACCTGCACACCACGAGAACCGAGATTAGTTTGGGACACTCCGTATATCGCTTAATAAAGTTCCTGCCAAATATACATGTACAGCTATCCGTCCGAGGGATTTTTGCTCTGACAGTCGGAGCATAAGAAAAACCGTGTAACCGTGAAACTTAAACGAAGTCTCTCGCCTACGGGTAGAAAAAATGAAAACTTCACGAGCGCCACGAGAGCGCCGTAGTCTCGAAGACGGAACGAATCGGAAGAGAAACTCGACACGCGATAAAAAATACATCGCGATCGCGATGAGGAGCGCGCGAGGAGGGCGGGAAAGAGTTAATAACGCCGGAAGTAGACGCAATAAAGATCGCTTGCATAATACAGGCAAAGGAAAGAGAGAAGGACGGGGGGGGGGAGGGGCGAAGAAGAGAGCGATACGGGGAAGCCGTGAAAGCGTGAAAAACGCGTTCACGTCACGTGCCGTTCCTTGCACGCCGCAATTCATGACGGCGCGCCGTCGAACTTCACCCGATATTATCGATACTTCCCCCTCCTCCCTCTGCGCCCTCTCCACCGTCTTCCTCCCCGCGAAATCTCGGCGATCTGTTCTCTGCCTTCCTTTCTCCCTTCCTTTTCCCATCGCCCCGCGGCAAAACAGGACCTCTTCGTTTAAAATAACTTTTGGCTGAAACTACACAACCAATTTCAATGATTTCGGTCTGAAACCGAAGCTTATAAAATTCTTAAGAAATCCGTTATGTCTAATTTTTGACAAACGTTCCTCCTTTTTTTTTTATTACAACACATTCCTATAATATTAACATATGTCTTAATTGCGAACAAATGAGAGTATTTTTAATGATTTGTTGTGTTAGTAACAATTACTGGACGTTTTGTACGACATTTGTTAATAATATTTAATTTTCCTTTTCATCGAGATAGAGAACAGGCATTAAACGTTAATGACGGGGGAAATGTAACAAAACTTACACATACAATACATAATAAAAGTTACAACACAAGAATAAAGGGGAGTATAGTCGAAATTCGCACAAATTTGCATTTGTTTATTTAATTTGTTTATAAAAGCGACAAGTATTAATTTTAAACTTACCTTCGCTACACGTAACATATATTTATACATACGAGTCAGAAATGAATAAGTAAGAAATCCGAAAATAATATCCGGAAATTGCTAACATCACACGTGCCTGTATAACGG